ACAAGTTTCACGGTGGGACTTCGTCGTCCTCTTCCATCTGACCGTAGCAATATTAAGTTCTATTGGTTTTGTTCTCATTAAATTAACGTCAGAGGGTTCCCCCCCCAACGTCTTCCAGGGGTGAACCATTACAAGATGAACTAGTAGAATTGTCGTCTACCAGTTATGGCTTTATTAAAAAAAAGTTTTTTCCTTTAGTTCTTCGAGTATGCTGCACATTATTGGTATGATTTGTATGACAAGTTTTTTAAGAAATGGATAAATAATCAACCCAATTCATCATGGTTTATAAATAAATTATAACCATAAATTGATATTGATATATCATGTCTATCTAATCTTCGATCGACAGACGCTCTACGACGTATAGCGCAAAAATATGATCTCCGCCAAGGATTAGTATTAGCCGGCTTTTGTTCTCTCACGTGATACAAAGAAGTCTACAGTCAATCTTAACACCCCAAGAAAACCACGAAGGAAAAGTGTATCATTATTCCATTTACTTCTAAATTAATCTTTGTCTATGTTTCTAAATATGTTGTTCAAAAACAACGAATAAATAAACTGTTGTTATATATAGAAGAACATAATGTTCTAACTACATTAATAAGTTAAGGAAACTTTAGCATGTGATTCGCATTCAATACATTAAAGTAAGATCTACACAATCCTAATATACCAGCAGGAAGCAACAATCCTGTCACTATCTATTCTAGTTCAACAAAGGTTAAATTTATCGCATTAATTTATAGGTTGTTGCACAGATGCCAGGTGGCTAGAATATATATGTACAAGTCTCTTATCATCATTAGACAAATCTGTTGTTACCACATTTTTACATGCATCACCTTACACTGACTCGTGTCATAACAAAGATTTCCCATATCCCTATCTTGTTCAATGTCAAATATCCCACGCTACCGAAAACTTTGACAAACGTAACTAAATATAACAATGAGAACTTTTTAGCCTGTGGTTTAGAGCACCAATGATTTTGCAGAGCACCAATGATTTTGCATACCCATAATAAAATGGTTATCAACCTTTTTTGAAATAAACATTCAAACACGCGATTGGTATAACATACGATCCCCTCAAATACGCTTAAATACATAATGCCCCACATCCGTTACGCTTGTGTCATACATTAATCGTATAATATTAACGCTTCTACAGAATCCCCCCTTCCTCTGACCTCCTTCAAAATATGGAAGCTTTAATGCTTGGCCGATGGTATAAAGAATTAAACAATGATCAATTAGCATTTAAATTTTATCACAAAGCCGCTAATCAAGGTCATCCTGTTGCACAATGTTACGTCGGCGTATGCTATAACAATGGAACGTCAGTAGAAAAGAACGATAAGAAAGCAGTCGAGTTATATCAAAAAGCGGCTAAACAAGGTTACGCTGTTGCAGAGTATAATCTCGGCGTATGTTACTATAACGGAACTGGGATTGAAAAAAATGTCTACAAGGCATTCGAGTTGTATCAAAAGGCTGCTATGCAAGGCTTGGACAGTGCACAATATAATCTTGGCCTATGTTACGAAAAAGGAATAGGGATAGAGAAAGATGATCTCAAAGCCGTCGCCTTGTATCTAAAAGCCGTTGAACAGGACCACGCCCTTGCACACTATAGACTCGGCCTGTGCTATCAGTTTGGAACTGGCGTTACCGTAGACTATCAAAAAGCAGTACGGCTTTATAAAAAAATTGCCAATCGAGGAAATGTTTTTGCACAGTATAACCTTGGGTGGTGCTATCGGCATGGACTCGGTGTAGACAGAAATGAGCAAACTGCGTTTAGTTTATTTCAAAAAGCGGCGAAACAGGGATTTACTGATGCACAATTTAATCTCGCTATATGTTATTGCAATGGCATTGGCGTTAAAAAAGACGTGAAACTTGCTATTGAATTATATCAAAAACTAGCCAACCAGGGGCATGCTTTTGCACAATATGCTCTTGGTAAGTGTTACAAGAAGGGCATTGGACTGGAAAAAAATAATCAAAAGGCTATAGAGAAATACCAGAAGGCTGCTGAACAAGGACTCTCCAAGGCACATTATTGTCTTGGCAAATTTTATCAAAGCGGGACTCTAGTTGAAAAAGATCATCGGAAGGCAATCACCTTTTATCAGAAAGCTTCTAACCAAGGTTACATTCCTGCACAATACAAACTTAGTAAATGCTACTATTATGGAATTGGCATAGAACAAAGTAATCAAAAGGCACTTCAATGGTTACAAGAAGCTGCTAGGCATGGTTACGCTAAAGCACAATATAGACTTGGGATGTGTTATTTGGAAGGAATAGGCATAGAAAAAGATTATCGAAAAGCGGCCAAGTTGATTCAAAATGCTGCCGAACAAGATTATTTTCTTGCTCTACTTACACTTAGTTTGTGTTATAATATTGGGATTGGTGTTGAAAAAAATTATCAAAAAGCAGGCGAATTATATCAGAAAGCAGCTAAACGTGAACTCATTTAGCGTGTAGTATACAAGCTATTACTAATAGAATTAAAGTAGAAATTGCTCAATATCAATATAAATTGTATATGTGGTACATAATTTGTGTTACCGTTACTCCCTTGATTGTGTGGTGGGGTTTGTTATAAAAAGAGATCCTGTTCGACCAAACGACAAGTGGAATACTCGTCATATAACTTAAATTCTTGTCTAATCAATTTCTGAAAATGTGATGAATGAGTGAATGAATGAATGAATGAATGAAAAGAAACATTATTGAGCAAACTTGTTCTACGAGCTGCGGACTAACAGAAAATTTTTGTTCATTAGGCCATGTTTGGTAACCGATAACGTACTTGCTTGTGAAAATTAACGAATACATGGAATGACAAACGCCATAAAAACCAAAATGGTCAGCAAGTAAACAGGATTTCTGTTACAAAAGATCTATTTTAAGAGGAATAATAAACGCATTACTCCTGAAAATTGATGCCATTCAACAAGAATTTGGGTTGTAATTTGCAGATTGAACAGGATTCTGTTTCAAAAAAAAAAGTTCATTAATAATATTAAGAAAATAAGGGTAATGGAGGGAACCCCTGTTTAAACAGACTTTTGGATTCAAGACTTTATCAACCCCTATTAATAGGTTATAAGCGACAAATAGACAAGATTGTTGTTCGATGACCTTCATTTTAAATAACGATAACGCCACTGCTTGCTAATAAATGGGACATGTGATCGACAAAAGTTTACAGTTTACACTGCAGATGTTAATATTGCCGCCAAGAACTACAGGACAGCCTAGTAATGGCTTGCATCATGGGAATCTTGAATCACTTTGTCTAGGCAATGTTCATATATGTTAAGCTGTTACAGCTACAGCTAAACAGTTTCATATATATTATAATGCATAGTTCGAATCTTATACGCAAAAATTTTCTTATAAAAGCAGTGGTCTATTTTGCATTCGTGAACGTCCTACTTCGGTAGGGACTACTTATCAAAAGTAAAACGATAATATGAAATTACTTTAATACGTCCTTACACTCCTACTTCATACGCCCGAGGATCCTCATGGAAACTCCTTTCGTCGCCGTCTCTACGGCATGTATTACGTTAAACATCGGCTCTTCGAATCGCTAACATTCTTAACCGTCGTATTTCGTTGCTTAAACACGCTGCTACCATTCACGATATAACGGTATGTTATAAACTAGCGTAAATAAATTATATATGTTATCTATAGACTTACCACCTGTCTTTCTACGCATACATAGATTTCTCGCAGAGGCTCTATCACGTCATGTCGAATCTGTAGACTAAACAACCACACCTTGTTTATTTTGTTGTCTCAAAGAGGTTTTTTGTTTTCATGATATTTTCACTACATTATTTTTTTTTTTTCAAAATTCTTTGTAAGAATCAATAAAAGCCTGCATTTCCCCAACTACAAAAGTTATGAATGCGTTGTTTATTTCGCTGGAAATTTTTAATAGTTGTTAGTTTGCGTATATTAATATAGCGTGTCATTATTATTATCGATTCTAATTGCTTTGGTGGCAGTCATTGCATCGTGTGGCTGTATATACAGTCACTAAAATGTTATCACTATCTATAAACAAAAGATAATATAAACCGTGAAGATACGTAATCATAGAGAAGAGAAGACAAGATAAAAAGAGGAAACGAGGTCTACTTTCCTACATATGCCAAAGTTTGTCAGTCGATTATTAATAGCATAGGTAATATCCATCATCAAGAATACGAAACGTATGCTGAGCTTGGGATTATACAATCGTTCTTTTATCCTTTTACAGTGTACATACCCAAGGGTTACTCGCCAATATGTAATGCACCCCATAATAGGTACCCAAAAATGGTATCTAATGTAACAGTCATAAAAACGCAAGAAGAAGCAAGCCTCTCTTGCAAATATCTGTTTATCAGATATTAAAACTGACGTAGCTGACTGAAAATTATTAGACCCTGGTATTAAGGTATCCTCTCCACCAGGGGTGTGTGCTTTCCAAATCTACAACTTAAGAAAAGACTGTTTTATACTTCATATTTGGATGATTGCTGCTGAGTACTCCGTGATTGGCTTCTCTTTGTGAAGAGAAATATAGAAACTATTAATAATCTTTAGTTGACAAGCAACATACATCTTTGCTGTTAACGATGAAAATAAGGGGTCATTTGAAATAAACAAACCAACTTTCGGGGATTCGGAAAGATTTATTCTCGAGTATAAATGAATACACTGACGTACATTAAAACTATTCTAGTAACAATTAAGCCAAACTGGAGAAGGTATTAGTATGGCACATACGACTTATGTTTATGGCGTTATATCTTACTACGGTGAGCGAAAAAGGTTCTAATGTCGAATGTCTAGTTTCCGAACCTTTGTTCCATTCACAATAAAGTAACACCATTTGTTTGCCCAACAAAAAAATCGGGTATTGTTATTCCTTTGTCCGAATACATATAAATAAGAGACAATGCAGGATTCAGCTGCGTCTAAATGGAGAAAACGAACCCACCAAGAAATCGGAAATCAAACCCGGATTTCACTGGTCAAGAATATATAATGAAAGTTCGGAAGCCACGTCAACAACCGCCAAGAAAACCACGTATTTGTCCAAAGTGCAAAAGAATGGCAAAAGAGTTCAATGAACTACACAAAACATTTGATTCCATAAGCCAGCTTGTTAGCGATTTCGGCGCCATGAAACTGGAAAATGTAGAGAAAAAATATACGTTTGCTCACTTGGTAAGTATATAATAACGTGCATTCAATATTAGAACTTGTCTGCTTTTTTATATACTCATACTTTTCTTTTCGCACGCAGTCGACCGAAGCCTTGGTCGAACTTACAGAAAAGGTGGCCATCATCTGTACATCCGCAACAAATCGCACAACGAAAGATTCGGTAACGAATACAAAGGATTAACCGAGAGTTATATACTGTATGTTACTTGGTCTGTGCCACACAGATCGTCATAATAATAATAGTAAATAAATAAGACACGCTACTCTGTCTTTCTAAGTTTCCAAATGATCGACCAACACTCACGGCCAATGAACTATAGTTATGAAACTATCGCCACCTGCTTCATCTCTACCGTATCTCGCGCTTTTCCTATCAATTCATTAATGGTAAGTCTTCCAACATCAGTCCTCCGATGGGCTCCACAAGTATGATGTTTCCTCACACCGTGAGGAGCCTCGAATCCATAATAATTTAATGTAATTTAATGATATGTTGAAGCTCTCGGTCAATAGCTGAATGGGTCCATACGTATTAGTATATGTTTATAATCAGCATAGCGCGTATCGGTTTCGAAGACAAATATGGGAATCGACATTCATGCTCACTTATTATCTATGTTCTTGCAACATTGCTGTAAATCTTCTAATCACCACAGAAGTTACTACAGCATACAATGCCTAGAGACCCGTTGGTACTGTATACAAAATAGTTGAAGTACCTTTTATGAGCGAGATCGCCAATCAGGCTAAATTGGAGACCAACATTTACCAGAGCAGGAAAATCAAATCGACTATTTATCATATTAGTATAATAGAGCCAGTTCAAATATTATAAATCAGAGCACGTTGCCCGCCAAGAAAATATCTGGGTGGATAACTAAATCGTTGAAAAATTTCCTTACCACATTCAAAAGATACTCGTCAAAAAAGTTTGCACACGGAATTGCATATGACCACCTTGACAGCGGTTGTGTCGTGTAAATACGATATCGCAATGGACATGCCAATTTGGACAATAAAGGAGCTAGAGAATGCATTACAATGCAATGACATTGTCAAATATGCCTTTGAATACGGGAGATTTGCATAAGGATTATGGGCGTGGACGTTGATGCGTTAACAGGATGAATTTTGCTAAAGATGAACAAGAAAAGTAAAAACATTTCATTCACGTTTACGCGCACGCCAACTTCCTCACCTGCTGGCACCATTTCTTGTTAGCAACAGAGCACAGTATAATAGCAAGAATATAGCATGATAACATTCCAACAAATAAGTAAACTAATGGTCTTCCTCAAATGATCATTCTGTTGATGGTACACTTCAAGCCTACAATATATATGTAATATCAATAAAACCCTAAACATTCTAGTAACGAGTGGATAAACATGCTGTCATCATTGGAATTCTATATCTACGGTCCACGTACATTTGTAGAATCTGAGTGTAAGCTGGGACGTATCTACTGTCAATATATCCTTGCTATATTGCTCACAGTTCACCGCTTTATTATAAGCTCCGGTTACAGAAACGGGAAACATGAAAGATCAGCTGACGTTGTCATCATCGATCTATTGCTGGCAACAGTGGAGCGATAATTTCCGTCACTTATACGTTTGATGACGCCAACGATAATTAGACCGTCTTCTTCGATCTTCGAAACATGCACGTCATCATTTCGGATAGGATCCCATTTCCATATCTCATGCTTCGAATCGCGTAAATAGCAATGAAAATGCCGATGGTACCTCACATCATCCCACCGATTAAGAATTCAAATTCGTTCTCATATACGGATAGAATAAATAGTATGAGAATAACACAACGGTAATAGTATAGTCTTGTCTTTCCATTAATTTCTGTAAATAATAATGGGATAGTATACGGCCCTCTCTCCTCCAACTTCCTCGCAGGTATATCCCTTTTATCCTGATATCCTATTACGCATAACACTTCCCCACACACACACATCTCGACCTACTTGCCGTTTCCTTGATGCTGCAATGTCAGGTCGAATATAAGTGTCGTAACAGTGATCCCTAAAATCGCGTTGATCCAAATTTGCATCTTACAGCTACACTGTAATACTAGCAGCAGAAAGGCGTCGCTCCACTCAATCTCCTACTACACCCTCACTCCCCGCTTCGCTCGAATTGTATACTTCATACGAATTATTGTCGTCTAATACAGATATACATTAGCAAGAGTAAAATACGGGGTATCGCAACTTGATTTCAGAGAACAACCAAAGTAATGTCAAATCCATACAATTTGTAATCGCTCCTTCATGCTGCGTTCAGCTTTCAAATAGATAATCTTCATTGGACGTCAGAGATTTGTGTTGCCACTGTTACTATTGCCAACGTATCTAAATTGTCATTTAAATGACCTCAGTCCTTAAGTTAATTGGTATTCGTCTTCGGCATTATGAGAAAGAGTTGGGCTTCATCCCGTAATGATTAGCTGTCTGTTGTTCTCGTCACTACTGTCTTTGGATGGGAATTATATGTCATCGTATCAATTGCCAATCTTTCCTAATCGCGCAATCGCCCATAGAGTATATGATAAATACGACCTATTTTAAAAAAGCATATTAATGTCTACATTGGGTATAAAGACAAAAAGTAAATCTTGCGATTGAAGGGCATAAGTAAAAGTGACCGCTCCCATATTGTACATACAGTACTTTTATTGTGATCCATTGGGGATGTTATTGGGTACCATGCTCACAAAAGTCATAAAGTAGCATGACGCACAAGTATGAATGGGAGATGTCATAATCAAAGCATACTCCAACATTGAAGACTAACCACACGCCAATCGCCACTCTTCTCATTTTTTTTGTGAGCTTCCAACACACTATTATAATAAACACATGAATTAGACCAAGGGAACGCACAACTTGCTCTCTACGTTTTTCTGGTATAGATTTCAATCAAAACACGTAGGGGAAATAAAATTTTTTTTCGGCACATCTTGGAGAGTGCCTTCGAAATAAAGTCTTACACTATTGAAATTTACTTCAGAACATTTAGAGCATCATCCAGCAATTGACAACTTGATCGCAACTAGAGTTGTGGCTGTAAATGGGGCTCCTTGCTCGGAAATCACCGACATAAAGCCAAGTCAAATTGACATCGTCTATTACGGGTATAAAATAATGATAATTACTTGAAGTATTAAGATAAAGATCTTGCAAGTATAATAAGGATGCAATAGCTTATCAGGCAATCTGGTAAGGATCGAACAAACATACTATGGTCCCCATAGAAGATGGCCATCCAAAACGTTACCTAGCCGTCTTTACTCCGAGCTTTCTGGATTCACAGTAAGCGACCAACATTTCCTCTCTTATGAGAGAAGTCTACAATCAAGGAAGAAAACCCTCATGAAAAACGAAGTTCTGTGATTTGTCCACGCCATTGGCAAATCACGTGTTGCCAGATCGCCGTATTAAGTCAGTATTTGTCCGTGGGTTTAAGGTCGACCCTCGATCAGTTAATCTCCGCGCGGAGGTTCCATTTGCACGAAATATTGTGCATAACGCCGGTGACGTTTGGCCGGCTTTTCCTACTCCGGATGAAGTAATTGTCCGGGTGATTCTGTATTCTCATTCTAAGGACCGCGCCCATGTAAATACCATAGCGGGATTGTTGAGGGATACTACGACGAAGTCGGTGCGTCATCGGTGACGCTGCCTAAACGCCTCAAGATGGTTATTACCGTATCTGGCAAAGGCTGGTTCGGCTTAATATTATGCCAAAGATGTGTAGAGAATTTATAACAAATACTTCCAGCCATAATTGTGACAATAGATTGCCAAGCTAGTCACATGATAAAATCTTCCTCCGCAGTTAAACAAACCCATGATCGGCACTAATTTTAGTTTAGTAATACAGATA